TACTATGTTAGCACAACCGGGATGGTACTAGATGGTGTAGTCATAGTCACTTATTAGCTTCATCCATCACCGCTGCCTGAGATTCAGCTCATTCTAGGTGAATATCTACTTAAGGGTTTTTCTTATAATTACTAACATAATTAAACCATGTATTTATTATATGTTTTTATTTTTTATATTTTTTTTTCTCTAACAACTTTATCAATTAAGAGATTTTAGGAAACTTTAGAGGTATTGAGTGTGCAAACTTCAAAGTCTGCAACAACTTTATTCCAAAAATTTCAATGTTTTCAATCAATGATGAAATCTCGGAGAACTCAAAAGCCAGGACAGATGGTTGAATATATTGCTGGATTGGAGAATTTAGTTTTTAACAATCTGCTCCAATTGATTCTATTCAAGAATATCATCTGAACCCAAGAGTTCAGATCCAAGAAATACCAAATCATACTGCTCAGCCCCAAAATATGCCACCTCTAGATGTGGTCAATACTCAAGATTTAGAACTTAGAGGCGATGGATATAATACAAGGAACATTTGCTTAATTTTTCATAAGAAAGATATATCATAATGTGGAAAACTGTTACCCAATGGGGAATTCGTTACCCGACAGGTTTGGTTACGTGGAATCCCCATTTGAAGATTCTATGGTTTCGGGTTCAAAGAAACTAAACGAGCTCGGTTATGGGGATTGCACATCAAAACCCAATTTGTCCCTTGCCATCTCTACATGTGTGAAATGGCCACCCAATTTATGTTGTCTACGTGTTAGGCTTGAAAATTTGCCACACGTGAGGGTGCGTGAGTATGAATCTCACATGGGATAAAGGACGGAACTTGCATGTACTTATAAGTAATTGTGCTACTCCCCATATTGCTAATTGATTTTTGGTGGAACCTCAACTTTCTTCATGGTATCAGAGCAGGTTGGCCCATGTGTAAAGTCCAACGGCCACACATGCTACGCGTCACCCTATTCGTGTTGTCCACGTGTTTAGCTTGACAATTCACCACATGTAAGGAAGCATGTGAGAATGTGACTATAAATGAGTCCTACATCGATGAAAGGAATAACTTTACAAGGGCTTATAAGAGATTTGACTATTCCCTATATAGCCAATTGGTTTTATCGTGAGACCTCCTTTCTTGACCAAGACAACCCTGGTTAGCCGCCATGCATAATAAATGGAAAAGGAATCATAGCTCACTCATGTGAAAATTTCATCTTAAACCTATCAGAAGATTACATTTCTTAGCATGCGAATACATAAAATCATTTGAAGTGACATCCATGGATTATTATATAAATCACCTAACAGTAGGCCTGGCAAACGGGTCGTGTCTATCGTGTTCGTGTCGTTTTCATGTAACACCTGTTATCTTAACGGGTCGTGTCGTGTCACACCCGTTATCTTAACGGGTCCTTAACAGGTCGTGTCACTTTACCCAACGGGTAAAGTGACCCGACCCGTTATGACCCGTTAAGAAAAAAATATATTTTTTTAAAATTTGCACATACCACACATTGCCACATAAATATTACTTCAAAACATTAAAACATTTCTCGTTCAAGTACTATATCTACACTCGAAAAAAAAAAGCCTAATAAAAAAATAATACATACACTACTAATCTATTACAAATATTAAATGTGCAAGGATAAAGAGTTTTTGTTTTTAAGATTGTAAGTCTTTCTCAAAAGTTTACACCTCCATTTACAAAATCTCCAAGCATATACAAACAATTTTGACGGTTTGGATCGTTGAAATTAGTTTTGGAGAATTCTTAAAACGATAGATTGACTAACACTTAAAGTTTATTTATACTTTCATTAAGTATAACATAAGATTTTGTGGTATCCACTTGTGTAAATATTTTAAATTGAAGATTGAATTCATTCATTGTATTCATATAGGGTCAAGGAGTGTAGTTATAAAAAAATCATCAAAATCGGAGTTAAAATAACCGTTAAATCGTGATTTTTCATTTATAACCGTTGAAAAGTTTTGTCCCGTTACTTGATCTCTGAATGTTTTTTTTTTGTGATTTTTTGCTGATGTGATCTCCAAGCATATACAAACAATTTTGACGGTTTGGATCGTTGAAATTAGTTTTGGAGAATTCGTAAAACGATAGATTGACTAACACTTAGAGTTTATTTATACTTTTATTAAGTATAACATAAGATTTTGTGGTATTCACTTGTGTAAATATTTTAAATTGAAGATCGAATTCATTCATTGTATTCATATAGGGTCAAAGAGTGTAGTTATAAAAAATCATCAAAATCGGAGTTAAAATAACCGTTAAATCGTGATTTTTCGTTTATAACCGTTGAAAAGCTTTGTCCCGTTACTTGATCTCTGAATGTTTTTTTTTTGTGATTTTTTGCTGATGTGATCTCCAAGAATATACAAACAATTTTGACGGTTTGGATCGTTGAAATGAGTTTTGGAGAATTCGTAAAACGATAGATTGACTAACACTTAGCGTTTATTTATACTTTCATTAAGTATAACATAAGATTTTGTGGTATTCACTTGTGTAAATATTTTAAATTGAAGATCGAATTCATTCATTGTATTCATATAGGGTCAAGGAGTGTAGTTATAAAAAATCATCAAAATTGGAGTTAAAATAACCGTTAAATCGTGATTTTTCGTTTATAACCGTTGAAAAGCTTTGTCCCGTTACTTGATCTCTGAATGTTTTTTTTTTGTGATTTTTTGCTGATGTGATCTCCAAGCATATACAAACAATTTTGACGGTTTGGATCGTTGAAATTAGTTTTGGAGAATTCGTAAAATGATATATTGACTAACACTTAGAGTTTATTTATACTTTCATTAAGTATAACATAAGATTTTGTGGTATCCACTTGTGTAAATATTTTAAATTGAAGATCGAATTCATTCATTGTATTCATATAGGGTCAAGGAGTGTAGTTATAAAAAATCATCAAAATCGGAGTTAAAATAACCGTTAAATCGTGATTTTTCGTTTATAACCGTTGAAAAGCTTTGTCCCGTTACTTGATCTCTGAATGTTTTTTTTTTTGTGATTTTTTGCTGATGTGATCTCCAAGCATATACAAACAATTTTGACGGTTTGGATTGTTGAAATTAGTTTTGGAGAGTTCGTAAAACGATAGATTGACTAACACTTAGAGTTTATTTATACTTTTATTAAGTATAACATAAGATTTTGTGGTATTCACTTGTGTAAATATTTTAAATTGAAGATCGAATTCATTCATTGTATTCATATAAGGTCAAGGAGTGTAGTTATAAAAAATCATCAAAATCGAAGTTAAAATAACCGTTAAATTGTGATTTTTCGTTTATAACCGTTGAAAAGCTTTGTCCCGTTACTTGATCTATGAATGTTTATTTTTTATGATTTTTTGTTGATGTGATCTCAAAGCATATACAAACAAGTTTGACGGTTAGGATCGTTGAAATTAGTTTTGGAGAATTCGTATGATATCAATCAAGTTCTTTGTGTGTGTGTGTGTATATAACTATATATATATATATTTATTTATTAAGTAGATTTAAATCTATTTATTTTGTACGTATAAATTATAATTGACTGGTACACGGAATAGTACATACATCACGTGTCACGTGTGTCATTATAAAAATAGTGAGATATGTCATGACAGTCATGTGTGTGATAAAAGTTAATAACTTAAAAAAAAAAAAAAATTTCGCACCACTTCTATTAATTTTCATTTTTCCCTCTCTTTTTTGTTTCCTTTTCAACTTTTTCTTATCATTTTCACTTTTCCCTCCAACATCTTTCTCTAATTCCCTCACTTTTTTGTTTTATTTTCAACTTTTCTTAACATTTTCATTTTCCCTCCATTTTTTTTTTCCAAAAAGGGCGGCAAGTTGGCAATGGCTAGAAATTGATTATTGAAATTTGAATGGAAACAAATCACGTCAAATTTCAATGGATGCAAAATCATGCAATGCATCATGCATATTAAATTATTAATTAATAATTATTATAGTTTTTATAAAATTTAATATATATATAATTATTATAGATAGACTTAATATTTTGGGGTATAATTATTATAGTATATATAATTATTATAAATTTTATAGTTAATTTAATATATATATATATATATATATTTATTATAATTTTTAGGGGTATAAAATTGTAAAATTAATGTAGATAATTATTACAGTATTTTTTTAGTGTTATAAAATTATAAAAATAATATTCTGCTTATCGTGTATCGTGTTACCCACGTGTATACCCGAACCAACCCGTTATCTTAACAGGTGCTTATCGGGTTACCCGATAACGACCCGATTTGTTATCGTGTCGATCCAAACACCTGTTAATTTCGTGTCGTGTCGTGTCGGGTTATCGGGTCGTGTCAGAAATTGCCAGGTCTACCTAACAGCAAGGACTATTAGATCTTTAGCATACAACTTATATCCTCAACCAAAAATTAGTGACAAACCTATAACTGTCCAATTTAAACACCATTTCTTTCACTGAAACAAAAAAAGGAAAGGAAACATTTTCTAGCTGTCAAAAGCTTAACATTAGATGACTATGGCAATCCAATTTGAAAGCTACCTCGTATAAAAAAAATTCCTATTTCATTGAAAAAAATAAAAAATTTATAAGATGATGCATTAATTCTTATATATTTTGAGGGCTGACATGTTGATATAGTTTAACCGTAACCATTCAAATAGAAGGGGAGGGAAGGGAAGAGAAAAAAAAAAAAAAAAAAAAAAAAAAAAAAGAAAAAAGGAGAGAATCCTACTCTCATGTTCTTATCCTAAAGCAACATAGTATAGGAGCAGCTGTTATTCACAAGTCAGAACGGTGAATCTCATGGCAAGAGTAATTTCTAGAACCCATCATTAATTTCACTCTTAATTTTAAACTCAAATCAGATTTTGTCTTCTGCAGCGTCAGGCCACCTCTTCCTTTTCACTCTATATATACCCCAACCCACCTCATCTCTTCTCCTTGACTTCATACTTGATCTCCTCAGCCATCATCCATCATCCATCTTTTTCTTCGTATACACACTCATCTAATTATTCATCAGAAACCCTACTAGTATTCAGAGAGAGAGATAGAGAGAGAGAGAGAGAGGTGCTACATTTGTATGGAGATTGCTTCTGTTTTAATATGCATATTCCTCTTCCTCTCAACTCTTTTCTCATACCACTTGATAAAGAAACAAAAGAGAAATTGTATGCACAAAGCTAAACTCCCCCCAGGCTCAATGGGGTGGCCTTACATAGGAGAGACTCTCCAAATGTACTCTATGGACCCAAACGTATTCTTTGCTACAAAGCAGAAAAGGTTCTAATCTAATCCAATCAATATTACCAAACCCTAATTGCTATATATATATATATATATGTGTTAATGTTTCTTCTACAGGAATTTGATCTTAATTTGGTGTATCTTTCCCTTCTGTCTTGTGTTCATCAGGTATGGAGATGTATTCAAAACCCACATACTCGGATGCCCTTGTGTCATGCTGGCAAGCCCTGAGGCCACAAAGTTTGTGCTGGTGACTCATGCCCACTTGTTCAAACCCACATACCCGAAGAGCAAGGAGAAGTTGATTGGTCCTTCTGCTCTCTTCTTTCACCAAGGAGATTACCATAGTAGCCTTAGGAAACTCATTCAGAACTCTCTGTCCCCCAATCCCAACACTATTCAGAAACTAGTTCCTGACATTGAAGCATTGGTCATTTCTGCCTTGGACTCATGGGCTGAAGGACGCAAAGTCATCAACACGTATCATGAGATGAAAAAGGTTAGTGGTACATATCTAATTTGACTCCAAAAACATTCCTCTTTTCTCTTCAACTTCCTTTTTTTTTTCCAAAGTCTTTGGAATGAATAAATCAAAGAAGAATCAAAGAAAATGAGTGCAGAAGGAAAAAGCGGACATGTGATAATCAGAGTCCAAATTTTTTTTTTTTACCAACATGCTGAGTAATTAATTAGAAGCTAACTACTTTTTAAACTAGTCTTTCGCTCTAATTAACCCCATGTTGCTTAGTCTTTTTGGTAGGTGGGTTTGTTCTAATATGCTTCTTATGTGTTTGTCTTATGTAGTTTACACACATAAGCACACGTCATTGATGTGTTTTTTACTTTTTTATTGTTTATTTATTTATTTATTTATTTTATGAGTTACTTCCTTCAGTTTTGTTTGGATCAAGTAAATATTATTCTAATTATATGGATTTCATTTTGTCCCTTTACAGTTCTCCTTTGATGTTGGCTTTCTGGCTATCTTTGGTCAGTTGGATGAGACTTACAGAGATAAGCTCAAGGAGAATTACTGCATAGTTGATAAGGGTTACAATTCCTTCCCAACAAAAATACCTGGAACTGCATATCAGAAAGCTCTCTTGGTAAGCAACACTGGTCTAATTCTATATTTAAATTTAACATATTACATATGACTTTTTAAACTGACAGAACCCCTTTTATTTCGAAAGGCAAGGAAGAGGCTTGGTGAGATTTTGAGTCAGATAATTTGTGAGAGGAAGGAAAAGAAAACCATGCAGAATGATTTATTGGGTCATCTGCTGAATTTCCAAGATGAAAATGGGCAAACTTTAACTGAGGATCAAATTTCTGATAACATCATTGGAGTTCTGTTTGCAGCCCAAGACACTACAGCTAGTGCTCTAACATGGGTTCTCAAGTACCTCCACGATAACCCGAAAATTCTTGAAGCTGTGGAGGTAAAACTTTCGTGCTATAAAGTTTGCAAATTTTACACAAATTGTGCAAGTGAAAGATTGGTTTATGTTGAGCTGTGATATGTTATTGCAGGCTGAGCAGAAGGCCATATATGAAGCTAATGAATTATCTAAGAAGACCTTGAGTTGGGCACTGATTAAGAACATGCCACTCACATATAGGGTAAGCCAACTCACACTAGCCATCCAAATATTCAAAAGCGAAGTGATTTTTGTACTCATTTTCTCCTCTGCCCTCTCCGGCCGTTGAATAAATCAAAGAAGCATTAATGTACATAATTAATAGGAGAGTGCAGAGTAAGAAAATGAGCCTGAAAATCACTATTTTTTTTTTTTAAATGGGAAAAATTTTACCGAGCTGGATATGTATGAAATTTCAGGTTATATTGGAGAGCTTGAGGATGGCAAGTATAATATCTTTCACATTTAGGGAAGCTGTGGTTGATGTAGAATTCAAAGGTGAGGAATTTAAGTTCATTTTTATGCCATTTAAGTAGAAAAATACAAGTAATTAAAGAGGTTTTATTTCCATAAATTTCGTTTCAAAGTTGATCAAAAAAATATTGCAGGATATCTTATACCAAAGGGCTGGAAGGTGATGCCATTGTTTAGGAACATACATCATAGTCCAGAATTCTTCTCAGATCCTCAAAATTTTGATCCATCTAGGTTTGAGGTATGTAGAGACACTGATATCAGCTGGATTCTGTCATTTTTTTTGCTTTTTTTTTTTTTTTTCCCTTCTCTCTCTCCTCAAACAAAAACAAATTCTATTGAAAAGATCAAACTTGATTTTTTTTTTCCTTATATTTTATTTTTGTGGTTGTGGGCAAAATAGGTTGGTCCAAGGCCTAACACTTTCATGCCATTTGGGAAAGGAGTGCATGCTTGTCCAGGAAATGAGCTTGCCAAGTTGGAGATGCTCAGTTTGGTCCACCACCTTGTGACCAAATTCAGGTACACAAAACAAATATGCAAATATCATTTTTGTTTTTTTTTCATTAGAATTGTCTACATTATATCCTTAGGTTCTTAAAAAGAATAATATGTATAAAATTTGATGCAACTTACTATTGTTTCTGCATCTAATCTTTTTTTTTTTCTCGAACAAACTTTCATTAGAGTGATGATCCTCTAGGGACAGAAATACAATCATAATACATGTAACGTGTAACAAACAAGATGTTTGTGAAAACCAAACTAAATTATTATGATATTAATGTTCAAGTTCAGCTATTGCATTGCATCCGCTGTATCTAAAACCGTGTTAGTAAAACAATCATGTTAAAACATTTTCACTGAAATGTGTAAAGATTGTGTGTTGATCCCAAATTAGAAAGCTCTTGTTGTTGATATTTTAATGATTTGTGATTGCAGGTGGGAAGTGGTGGGATCACAAAGTGGGATTCAGTATGGTCCATTTCCAATTCCTCAGCATGGACTGCCAGCCAGATTTTGGAAAGAATCCAACCAATCTCAAACAAAACTTGGGGGGCCACTAATTGATCGCCTTCCCCAACCAACTTAATTACTCATGTTAATAACCTTCCTAAAACCCAATTAATTTTCACTAGTCCTCTTGTTTTTCAGATGGGGGTCTCTGTCTCTCTATGTCTTTAGAAGTAGTCTATCATTTATCTTCCATGTAATTTTTAAGGGTGATTTTGATCATCTCTATAAGAAACTTCAATGATTAAGGGGTAAGCCTTTTATCTTACCCTATGAGCCGATTTGTTATTGCCTATTATTGTAACTTTGTTCTAAGCTAATCAAATGTAGGTAGTGATAACAAAACATGTTCAAGCTATAGTTTATAAAAAAAAAAAAAAAAAAAAAAACTATTACTTTATTCACGTTGTTGTTGACGATGAAATTTAAATTCAAAACATCCAACAAATAGATATTGAATATCATTAAACCAAATAGTCATTGGCACTATTATATCAAGAAGGAAATGCTTCAAGCTAGATGTGCCTTCTCAGTACAAATATACAACATTACAACTGCAAGAAAGAACATATTTTTCTAGAATATAGTTTAGAAATATTTTTAAAATGACTGAAATCGTTTTTAAAGAAACTGTTTTTGAGTTTCAAAAGCTCTTCAAGCTGGTACTTCTAATAGAATGAACACTGATTAAATTACTACACACTCGGCCTCTTCGATCAATAAGGTGGAGATCAATAGCTAAGCTTTGTTTATGATATCTCACTGTTTATGGCAGATTGAGAATCAGATTCCAACATGATGGAAGAGAAGCCAACCTTTAATTGTCATTTGCAACATGAAGGTGACTTCCATTCACATGACAAGACAACAAAAACGAAGGGACCATACTATAACTCAAAACGCCTAAACCAAGCAATTGAATGGTCATGCTTCATGTTAATAGATAAAATTTCCACAATACAATAAAAGACGTATATAAGATAGCAAAAATATTAGGCCAAATAATACAACAAGGGCAACGAACAAAACAAATGCCGCACAAACAACTATGAAGTCCACATCTCTCTGGTCAAATCCACAAAGCTTTAAACAACGCATGAGCCTATATGTGTCACCACGTAGAGCAATATTTGCCATCAAACGCCGCATCTTGCCAAGAAGATATTGGATAACGTCTAGTCTATTCCAGGAGCATCTCCAATTGGGTTATACCGAAAATGCTCATAACTACCCTATTATGAACAACTTTAAAATATACATTGCTTTTTCAAATGTGCCTTCGTTTTACTTTAATCAACTTCTAACTTTGCAATTTATTGCTTTAATTTCTAATTAAGGGCACGTTCACTTAGCAGAAACGAAAAATTGAAAGAATCAGGAGTTTAAAAGAAGGAGAAGTAACAAAAGGGAATCAAATCAATTAGCGCCCCCTAGTTGATTTGATTCTTTATTTTTACATATTTGATTACAGACAGTTAATTTCCTTATGTGCCACAAAAGTAAACGTAAAGGAAAGTTAAAAAATGAAAAGATTCACTTACCCATTACTTTAGTAAGCACATGAAACTCAAGAATCAAAACTATCAATTTACATTTCTTGTAATTAAACATGGCTGTATGGAAAATATTTCCAAAGACGTCTTTCTTCCACAATAAATTTGCTTTATCCAAATGGGTTTACAAAAGTTTGCTACCTCATTTGATGTATTGGACTGGGGTGGAGGCCCATCGACCATAATAAGCACTAGTACAGACGTTAAACCTCACATTTTATACCATGTATTTTCTCTCCCATACTTTACTCTCCTTCTCTCATCTCATTTCAACTTCCATCATACTGCAACGACATTTGTTGCGCATTCAATTCTAACGTATACCATACGGAAATACACACACGCAATACATTTTCTTTAAATTGACTGTGGACGTATCAATTTGTTGGTTTTCTTGAAAACAACCGTTTCATAAAAACATTTCGAAAAATACTTCCGTGTGACGGGAGTGATAGGCAAGGTTTTTTATTTCTCCGGAAAAATTGTTCCACCTATCTGATGAGATTGGCATTGTTCGCCTGATGGGAACTTGCATATTGCTTCACGTGGGGGGTCTTTAGCAGTGGGGCCACGAAAGAGCCAATTGTCACGAATTCGGTTGGCCGAGAAATAGCAAAGGTGCCGTTGATTGGACGAAAAAAAAGAAAGAAAGGCAGGTGCCCACCACAAGGGCAAAGAGGTTGAATGATTTGTGAGGGTTAGGGCTTGGGAGGCCTAGCAAACTACACATTGATTTCCCTATTTTGCACGGGTGGCATTAGACCGACCAAACCGACTGATCCGAATCATATTAGTTGGTTTCGTTTTTTCAGCAAGAAAAAGCTCAAATAATTTAAAAATCAAACCGAACTGATTCACATTTTGATTTGGTTCGATTTTGATACTTTTAAAGCTGATCAAAATTAAATCAAAGCGACTATGTATTTTTTAGCTATTAACTTATTCATTTTACATATATCAACTTATTATAGCTTATTTGGAGGTCTTACCGTATGTATAAGTTATAGTGATTATTAACAATTAGGAGATTTAAATGTATCTTATACTTATGTGAGGTTATAATTAATAAATCGTTGGCTAATAGGAGATTTTATTTAATTGAAACTTAGTTCTATTTGACTTGATGAACCTTTTATATTCGGAAAAAACTTAATCTTTCAATCAAGTTGAAATGTATGAGATGTGTTGATGTTAAGAAGATTAAAACTCTTGAAATGTTGAACGTTTTATTTATTTATTGTTGAATAAGCTCAAACCTATCGAATCAAACCGATTAACATTGGTGTCATTTGGTTCAGTTTCAATGGTGGTATGGGTCAAAACTAAACCCAAGCGAACCATCAAATATTAGTTAGTTCAGTTATATTGTTAGTGTCAACCCGATCCGCACCCACCCCTACTATTTTGCTTACAAATTGTGAAGCAAGTGTGCTTTTGCTGGTGGTCCCTTTTGGCCCCAAATTTGATATTTCAATTAAAGGACATACATGGATAAATAAATAAAAAAGTTAAACGGATAAACATAATTGTCCTAAAATGGGGCGCCCCCACCCTAGTTTGAAATTGGAATTACCCTAAATTATTATTGTCTGAAAGATTCCTACCAATATGCCCTCCACCTTCACTACCCCCCCCCCCCCCCCAACCCAATTTCTACATGCTTCCAATATCTCAATTAGCTCTAATATCTTTTTATTTTTGGGTCCGACCAGCTCTAAATATGCGGAAATTCTTGGGCACAAACAACATGACCATGTGGTCATCTGACCGCGCACACACAACACAAAACACCCCACCCCTAGTATTGGGCCCCGACAACCTAACCACGTGGCCATTTGACCGCACACATAAAACACCCTTACCCCCTGTGTACCGACTGAAGAATATCTCCTAATGTGTAAGTCAAAATTAGCACTAATTAGAGACCAAACGCATAGTAAGCGTAAGCTTTTTGAGAACATTCAACTAATACTATTAACTATTTTTTAGCATTTGAATATTTAGTACTGCTATTAAAAATATTGTGCCTTGAAAGGAGGAGAAAGTTGCCTAGGGTTTGGCTTCATAAGTGCTTTTGGCGGGCAATTTTCGTTTTGGATCTTGAAGATCTACGGCAGGCGGTCGTGCAAGCTGGACCTATCAAAGACTTGCAAGAGGCCGGGAACTATGGGCGAGCCTGTTCTGGCAGGCGACATGGAGGAGCTGAGGGTGAAGCTAGGATCCAATCTCAAGTTATCGAAGAAGGAAAGGAAAGTAATTGTCATGGGAAGAAAGGAAGTTGAGGAGGCCCTGATTGGGTTTCATTTTTGTCCTGTTGTTGAGGTGTTCACGACCAAGGAGGTGCATAGAGATGTGTTTATCGACATATTCACATCTTTGTGGAGAGGCAAGAGTGGGGTCTTGATTCGAGATTTAGGAGGTCAGCGGTTCCTTGCCTGCTTTGTGACTGAACAAGACTTGATTCGTGTGATTGAGGCTGACCATCCATGGACTTTCAAGGATGACTTAGTCATGGTGGAGAACAGAACACACACCGGTAAGAATCGATAGGAACCCCTTACTCTTGGGCCTTTTTGGATGCAATTGCACAATATTCCCCCTCTGAGTATGATCGGGGTGGTCGCACAAGCCATAAGCGGACTGGTGGGTACAGTTCTGAAAGTGGATAGAAGTGTGAGTAAGGAGTGTATTGGTGGATTCCTAAAAGTTAAAGTTCGCTTCAATGTCAATGAGCAATTGATATGAGGAACATATATGCAATTCCCTAATGAAGGGATGATTTAGGTAGATTTCAAATATGAGGGACTCCTAAATTACTGCCTTATTTGCGGTCTCCTGGGTCACCTATCTAGGATCTGTAAATGTAGTGTAGAAGGAACAGATACAAATATAGGAGGTGAAAAGAAGGGGGACAACCTCTACGCTTTCAAGGACCTTGATGCCATGGCAGAATTGCATGGTAATTCACTTCATTTGGGGAGTCGCAAGGGAGCGGGGTCGGGAGATGGTAGAGGGAGAATGAGCTCTAGGAGGCAACAACAGAGTGGGGAGACAAATAGCTTTAAAGTCGGAAGTGCAAGGAAGATCTCAAGTACGAGTGGTAACTTGGGGAGTGACTTCTAAGCCAGTTACCAAAGTGGGATAGGAGGTAATGGCACCAGGAGGAGTAAGGGTGCGGATGATGGTGAAACGCACGATACAGCTAGCTAGCCTCTAAAAATGAAGCTTTATTTTGGCACAGAAAGTACCGGATTGACGATAGCAGATAAGATCAGGGCCAGAAAGGAGAGGGATGAGGAAGTGAGGGAAAGCAAAAGAGAGAGATTTCAATAAGGTCTAATTGGACCGGGGGGAACTGTGGCGCCGAGGGTAGAATATATGGTCTTGATTAGTTTGGTTGAGGGTGAGGAAGGTTCCAGGCTGTGAGGGGAGTGAAAACAAAAAGGGATTCTGGAGGTATGATTAATCTGAATCTCATGTCGATGGAGGAAGATCTAATCAGTAACTCTAAAAAAAATATCGGGGATTACTCAAGACAGGCGACTGGAGCGGAAGGGAACTCACATGAGAATTAGGAGCTGGTTTCAACGGTGGGCACCCAAGACTCATACATGTTTAACTTAGGGCCAATTATTGAGGTTATCTCGAGGGAGGGAAAGGCTAAAAAGCGAGGACTTATGCAAATGGAGGAGTTTGAGGATGCAATAAGGGTGCTGTCCAGGAGCGTAAGACAACGCCCGACTAAAGCCACAACTAAGGCGGAGGAAACCAGCCTTGAGGGGTCTTCTAAGTCCCTATGAAGCTCATAGTATGGAACTATCAGGGTATCGGAGGTGACTTGATAGTTGACAACTTGCTGGAGCAAAATAGGCTCTACACCTCTGACATAGTGATCCTGCTTGAAACAAAAAACAAGAGCAGTCGCTATGGGTATCTAAAGAAAAAACTAGGAATGAGGTTTATGCATGCAGTGGAACCTAGAGGAATTGGAGGTGGTTTGTGTTTGTTATGGAGAGATGTTTCATAGGTTCTCTTGGTGAAATATACTGATTTTGTAATTGGATTAAGGCAAAAAGTGTCACTGGCGATTATTGGCCATCTACACTAGTACTGATGAGAAAAAGAGGTGAAACCAATGGAAGGTGTGTAGCAATTGAATCAAGAAGGAAAATGATCTCTGTCTCCTAATAGGAGACTTTAATGATATACTGTGCAACGGTGAAAAAGAAGGGGGAAATCATAGATCAGTGGCTAGCATGAGGGATTTTAGGGAGTTTGTGGCTCATAATGAACTGTTGGACTTCGGTTATGAAGGCTACCTGTTCACTTGGAGGAACAATAGAGACTTCATGCCTATTTAATAAAGACTTGATCATGGCTTGGCAAGTTCAGGATGGCATGACCTATACCCGGACACAAAAATCTTACAGGTAGCTTTGGAAGGGTCAGACCATTCAATGTTGCTGCTCACCATAAAGAAGTCAGAGGAATGGAGGGGAATAAGGTTTATGTACGATGTAAAATGGAGCAAGTTGGCGGGGTGCCGTAACTAGGTAGCTAGGGATTGGAAGGAAGGGGCTGGGGGCTCTCATGCTTTCGATTCTGCGAAAAGCAGAAGTTTGTTAGAAGGAGCCTTAAGGGGTGATATAGAAAGCAAGCCAGAAACTCTAAAAAAACCATTGACAAGCTGAAAAGTGAGTTAAGGGAAGCTTACTAATCAAAGGAGTTTGCCTCGGTAGGGGTGCACCTAAAGGAAAGAAAGCTAAGGAAAGCGCATAAGGAGGAAGAGTCTTTTTGGCGGGTTAAATTCAAGGGTCCAATGGCTTAATGAAGGTGTCAAGAATACCAATTTTTTCATGCACAAATGATGAAATAAAGGAAATCAAATAAGATAAATGGCTTGGAGGATCCGCAAGAAGTGTGGCATAAGGGTGAAGAAGATGTTCTCTCGCGATGAACTGTTTTTCTGACCTTTTTCAGTCCAGTAAGTCGTGCCGAATTGATGAAATTATAAGTTGTGTGTAGACTAGAGTTACGCATGAGGACAATCTATTATTGACGACTTCGGTACCAGATGGCGATATTCAGGAAGCTGTTTTCCAAATCCCACCCACGCAAGCTCCGGGGCTGGATGGTTTCTTAGGAAGCTTTAATCAGGACCATTGGGAAGTAATGAGAGTGGATGTGATCAACACAGTCAAAGCCTTTTGGCATTCGGGCAAGCTCTTAAGGAAACTAAACCATACAAATTTGGTTCTCATTTCGAAGGTGTCATGTTCGAAGAACTTGCTATAGTACCGGCCTATTGCCTTATGTAATGTAAGCTATAAGGTCCTTGCTAAAGTTCTCATGAATAGGCTGAAGAGGGTGATGCCTAAGGTGATTAGCGAGAATTAGTCGGCCTTTGTGGCTGGGAAGCATATACAAGATAATATTCTTGTAGTACATGAGATTTTGCACTCCCTTATGCATTAAACAAAGGAGGATAGGGTGGGTACGGCTTTAAAGTTGGATATGGCAAAGGCGTACGATCATGTAGAATGAGATTTCCTTTTAGTCATGATGGCTAAGCTGTAGTTTGCTCCAGTGTTTTGCAGTTGGATTAAGAGTGTATTTCATCTGCTTCCTACAACATTTTGGTGAATGGGAACCCAACGGGGTATATTTTTCCATAAAGAGGGCTGAGGCAAGGTAACCCTCTTTCCCCATACATGTTCCTTCTTTGCACTGAAAGGTTCTCTGCCCTAATCCAGAATGGTATGAAGAGAGGAGCCTTCCACGAGGTAAGGGTGGTACCAAATAGGATGCCTATTTCGCACTTATTCTTTGCTGATGACTCAGTGTTATTCTGTGATGCGACCTTGAATGATGCGCAAGGGGTGAGAGACATTTTGAACATTTATGCGGAGGGGTTGGGTCAGGAGATTAATATGGCAAAGAGTTCTATTTACTATGGGTCAAAGGTTAAGAAGTGGGATAAGAAGATTATTGAGCGTACTTTGAACATTCAAAGTAAGGTGGGGTTTGGAAAGTACCTTGGGCTTCAAGCTGATTTTGGTCATTCAAAAAAACCTATCTTCAAGGACGTCCGAAAGCGGATCGAGACAAAGATGGTGGGATGGGCTGAGCAGTTTTTAAACCAAGCAAGGAAGGAAGTCCTTATAAAAGCAATGGCAATGGTTATGCCAAATCATGCCATGGGTTGTTTTAAGTTACCGATCAGGGTTTGCAAAGACATTGAGAAATCTATTCGAAGCTATTGGTGGAGGGAAATGAGCACCGTAAGGGGGTTCAATGGGCCTCTTGGGATCGCTTATTGAAGAAAAAAGGCCATGAAGGGCTGGGGTTCAAAGATATCCAGTGCTTTAATCTGGCCTTCCTGGCGAAGATTGGGTGGTGACTGATCGTATATGGGAGACATAGTCTATATACATGGGATGGAAATCTATAATGATAGATTTCAAGATGTAATTGGATTATCTCAATCCCTATTAATAGACGATAGATGTAGGAAGTTTCTCGAGTGATAAACTTCAAATGAAAGACAATTCCAGTCAGACTGGGAGTTGCTCTTCAAAAAGGGAATGTACCCTTTTTGACTCCCAAAGAATCATAAAGCGTAAATAGAATCATTTATGCATATGTAGAAAGGTGATTTACGTATTTCATATTGTATGAAAAACATTGATATGAGTTGTGCTAAGATCGGTACAAGACAATATCAGTGCAAGCCCAAGATCAGAACCATGACAACTGTCAAGTGAGTCCTTAAGTATTTAAGAAATACTAAATGATAGATTCCTCAAGAATGAGGAAGAATTAGAGTAACGCAATGGAAGCGTAAATTTATTAGATTATGAATCTAATATCGTATCCATCATTGGATGTCTCTTCATTTTGAATGAAGAGATAATTAGATATCTCTTTATTATAACTAAAGAGATATTTGGGTGGAAACGTTAAAAGTAATGACTTTAGTGTGTTCCATCATGCAAAATATATCGCCATATAGAAGCTTGCAACAATGTTGTTTAGATGGGAAAGTTCATTTATGAAATCTCCATTTGGTTCTAACTAGAAAGTGTCTCTAGTGTACCGACACTACGACACTAATGGAGCGATAGCTCAAGCCAGGGAATCAAGGTCTCATCAACTTCCAAACTCAAATGAGAGACTGAACCACATGATTGAGAATCATGTATAATGGTGATGTCCTTATTCTCAAGGTTGCTTATGTGGATAACATATAGATATCCAGTGTCAAGGCCTACTACTTAGCTATTTTTGAAATGAATTCAGAAAATGTATCATCACTGATGATCAAGCTGATTGGCTCTAGTGTAAGTGGAAGATTGTTGGAAATGTGCCCTAAAGCTAATCATATGATGATGGTTTACAGACATTTCACATGTTAAACTAATCTAGTTTAATATAAAGGGCAAAGATTATTGTTTAAAGCCCTCTCATATAAATGTTGTACGCTTAAAGATAAGTCCAAGGAATATGTAATTGGGAGAATGTGACTAAAGAAGTTAGATTCATGAGACCATTCTCTTTCGTATGTAAGTTAGATTCATAAGACCATTCTCTTTCGTATACATATCCTAAACGTTCATGATCATAAGATTGCCAATTGGGCATTGACAATCTGTTAAGATCAGTACGTGCTCTATCTTCTCTTAGAGAGAGTGACTGGTCTCGAGTCATTGGTGTGACTGACACCAAGACAAGCATGCAGGTGCTCAATAGAGAATAAGCCCATTGAACGTGATTTAACAAGGAGTTCTCATATGCATGTCACATGAGAACTCATGGTTGGGATAATGCAAAGTAGCCCTTTAACCTAAGGCATCATAGTTGTCTTGTGGTTAGGTCCTTGATCTTTGACTATATCAAAGTCACTCCATCAAAAGGTGTCTATGGCATAGTTGGGGTTAAGCCACTTAGTCATGGAGGCAAGTGAGTGCACAATAAGGGATCTCTAACCTTCAAACCGTTTGAGTAAGAATACTTTATGATATGATTAAGAATCTCTGGCCAAAGTATGAGTAAGATTTAGGAAGTCGTTCCAAATCACATTCAAGGTAATTGTATAAGTAAAAGAATCACATTAGATAGTAAGCATGAATAAACTATCAAACCAAACAATGTGGTCAAGAGTATTGCATTAGAGAAAGACCGTATTGCATTGTAATCTTAAATTGAATAGGTTCTCCACCTCTTTTGATTAGCTTGGGTAGCCATAATATATTGCTAGGTATCACTCATGGTTTGTGGAATCCCTAAAGGTGTATAATCACTAAAGGGAGAATTGAAAGTATGTTTCAATTCACAATCGATTTCAAGAGTTCTAATCGCTCACTACCTCGCTAAAAGGAACCTAATGGATCGTACACCATGTAAGGTAAAGATTGAAGAAACAATGGAGATAAGTAAGGATAATTAAATGGTTTAATTATTTATGGCTAGGATTAATTAATATGTTAATTAATTAAACGAATAAGTTCGTATTAGACCTCAAGGTCCAATGGGATTTGAATGTCAAGTCCAAATACTCAAGTTGTATGACAACTTGAAAACACAAAGGGCTTGAAAGCCCAATAAACCCATCAAGGCTGGCCATAAGATTAAGGGGTATAAATGTATCTTTATAGCCCTTTCATCATTAAGGTTTTCTTTGAGGAAATTGGAGAGAACGCAAGCTCTCCTTTTTCTCTCTAAGAGGCCGGCCACCCTAGAGGAAAATACCTAGCAATCTTTCTTCCTTTAGGTCATTCATCTCTTCCCCAATGCTCTCCTTGGTGTGGAGACTTAGAGGTTCCCCATTTTGGGAACTTGGAGAATCCATTCCTTCATCCATCCAAGAAGCCATGGAGCCAAGAAGCAAAGTTCCTCCATCCACATCCATAGAGTCAAGGAGCAAGGAGACTAAGGAAAGAAGACCCTCACATGAGTGAATATTCTTTGCTAAGCAAAGAGGTGCTTCAAAGGTATAAAAGTTTCTCAACTCCTTTCTTTAAGATTTGAGTTGAGTCTTGGTTCACCACAACTACTAGGCCTTGAATTTCATGGGTAAAGTTTTGTTTTTGAGTGCATACAAGCATGATTCCGCCTTTTAATTGTTAATTGCATGCATAGATGTAGCCCAAATGAACTAGTTTTCACAAATATATCCTTCAGATGAAAATATGGTAAAAACTATACTTAGTCTAGTACCTTGGGTAGTTATGAAGCAAAACTTTTTAGTACAAAGGTGGCCACCAAACCTAGCGTTGGAAGAAATAAACCTAGAGATGGTTCTTTTTTTACACAGTTACATGGGGTTCCGTTGAATGTTAGCTCTGGGGCTAATGTCTGCAGAATTACTTCAAAAATAGGGGAACCGATGGAAGTAGAGGACCTAGCTATTGCACCTGATTTTCTCAAAGCTAAAGTGGTAGTCAATACTCTAAATCCTTACCTCACTGGTTGTTGGCTATCTAGAGATGCCGATGAGCAAACATGGATATAGTTTCGTTATGAAAAACTTTAGGATTTCTTTAACGTTGTGGTTGAATTGGTCACTTAAACACTGAATGTGCTTTTGAGCCAATGCAGGGGGCATGGCTGGGTATAAAGACTGGACTCGAGTGCCACCGGTTAGAGACATGGTGGAAACTCAAAGACTCTTACCTGTTAGTCAGGGGGATAAAAGAAGGGCAGGGTCTCAACGAAAAGGTGTTTAAGCTTCTACGTGGGAATTTGTAGAGAGAAGTCTGACAACGAGAACAGGCATCTGCCAATGTGAGCATACAACCTCCTACTATTGAGACCAGTGGTCCGAGAGCAAGTCAGAAAAGATGGCGAAGGTTTGGTAGACAAATGGCAATTCAGGTCCTACATTCGGCTCATGACAGTCCGAGTATTAGTACTTCTCTGATAGGTCAACAGGTAATAGTGGCTATTGGATCATCGAGCTCCACCAATCTTCAAGATTTGGATACTCCTAGCGGGTCGGCCGAACACTCGAATGTGAGGATTGAGGAAATTCCAGGAAAAAATATTCCAGCTATGGAAGCTCTATAGGCTTACCAGAGACAAGATGTTCTTTTAAAAAGAGGCGAGATCAGGGGTGATGGATATTGCTTGGCATCAATCCCCACAAAAGAAGTGTCGACCTTTTACTGTGTCTAAAGATATAGAGGAGAGGAAGCAGAGAGTGGCCGAGAAATTCAGGAAAATGAGCATTAAGGAAAGATGTTTGATGATAGAAATAGCGATTTATACAGATGAAGAGTCCTAGGAAATTCCTTTTGAATATCATGATTTGTGGGAGTATTTGGAGGTGGAATCAGAAAAAGAAATGCAGGCATTGACTAGGACCAAGGCAGGTGGGTCTTCGAAAGGTGGTGACGGCTGGCTTTCAACAACTGCACGGTAACAATGATTACCATATTTTGGAATTGCTATGGTCTTGGGTCGAACACGGTAATTCGGGCCCTCTATGGGCTAATTAGAAAATACCGACCTCTATGGGCTAATTTGGGCCCTCTATGGGATGATTCCATAGAGATTGAAACGATAAGTTCTTCGAGATGTTTCATAGATGCCCATGACACGGTTGGGGACTCCCAATCTATTTTTAGATTCACCAGAGTATATGGCACCTCTTACAAAGTTGAGAAGACGGGTTTTTGGAGGAGTGTGATTAATGACTTTTCTCCATCTAACATTTCCTGGATTTTTGGTGGTGATTTCAATGATGCCCTATGGGATTGGGAGAAGTCAGGGGCAATCAAGCTTGGTTTGAAGGTGTGCAGACGGTTCTATAGAAAGAACATAGTGTTTGCTTGATTCAAGTTGGGTTCAGAGTCCTTATTTCTCCAATAGTCGACGTCATACTTCCTTCCCCAAAGTAAATTTGAAATTTGGTGAGTTTGGAAATTTGGAAATTTGGGACCCTAGAAATAAATTTTGCTATTTATGTAGATTTAATTAATTAATTTAGTGTTTAAGGTTAATTATGCATGTTGGTTGATAAAATTAGTTGAAATTAGTGGATATTTGTGGAACTTTTGGAAAATTTGGGTAGGATGTTGGTTCGAGTCTCACTACCAGCAGTCTTAATTGGTAAGCGATCTATAAATTCCTATGTAAATCTATACCGGTGACAGTTGACAATTAAGTGTTACGCGTAAATCCTTCCGCTTCGGGGTTGTAGATATGTCCTAATGTTTGTGGTGAGAGTAACCAAACTCCCCCTGAACTTTTAGCAAACAAACAAAATGGGCATGAATATGTACCCCCACTATGAATTTTCCTGGAGAGACGAACGATATAC